TGTGTGTGTGTGTGTGTGTGTGTGTGTGTGTGTGTGTGTGTGTGTGTGAGAGAGGGTGAACGAGTTAGAGTGGAAGTGGGGATGTGTTATTGCTCACAAAAGTGATGAAATGACATCTCCTTTCCTTCAGCTCCCAGCTGCTGTTTGCAGCTCAAAGACGACTCTGTTGGACTATCTGACCTTCTACTTTTCTTGGATAGCCGGCGGTCAGAAGTGTCTGCCTGCCTGTCATGTTCTCCTCTAATTAGCTCCTTCCACACACTTACTTCACTTTTTTTTTTGTCCGCCGCGGAAAAAAGAAAAAAAAAACCTACACTTCTCTGCGTATTGATATTTGAATTATCCGTATAATCTCATTCAAATTGATGTTTGCTGAAATAACACAAGATGCCCGTTTTGTTGTTGTTGTTTTTTCCCTGACAGAGTGCTTTGGAAGGATGCGTTTAAACCCCCCCCCCCCACTCCTTCCACCAACACCTCCAAAATCTGTTTGACTTGTCTATAACGGTTTAGATTACGACACACATATCCAAAAACAAAGAAAACTTACGATTGTGAAGAAAATTTGTATTCAAGCCCTCTTTTTTTATTATTTTTATTTTATTGTTGTTGTTTTCTCTTTTTTCTTTCATCTCCTTCCCCCCTCCCCCTCCCCCTTTTCTTTGCAGATTAGAATTCATTAGCAATCAAAGCGCCTCCAGAGAGCTCCAGCTCTTAATTACCTCCTCATTTGCATTTTTGCATATTAATGACTGCAGGGTTTTGGTCGGGGTTTTTTGCCGCAGTGGTTTAAAGGCACCTCAGTCCTCTGTTCTCTGGGGAGGAGGAGAGACAGCCAGAGGCAAAAAGCTTCGAGCTTGTCCCCCCCCCCCCCCCCAACGGCCTTAACATTTCCTGATGGGAGCTGGACAGAGTGAGAACAGTGTGTGTGTGTGCATGTGTGTGTTGATGAGTGGGGGGATATAGCATGGGTGTGGTGGTGAAGGTGGCTTTCAGGGGGTGCACAGGTTAAAGTTCAACATCCCTTATCAACATAAGAAAGAACACATGTCCTCCACTCACACTGATTCTTGTCATTTTGAGCATCACGCCCCGAGAGAAACTGCAAATCTGTACCGTTAAAAAAGTATATAAAAAAGAGTGTTTTACGTCGCAGAAAGAGAGATGTGCAGAAAATGAGGACAGAGTTGACTTTTCTTTCTTCCTCCAAACACTCAGGGCTGCAGGTTGCTTAGCATAATAATCCATGGAAGAAGAAGAAGAAGAAGAAGAAGAAGAAGAAGAAGAAGAAGAAGAAGAAGAAGAAGAAGAAGAAGAAGAAGAAGAAGAAGAAGAAGA